CATCAGCGCCGTTTTCCGCACTCACAACGTCAGCGCTACGCGCCAGTGTCGATTGTGCTGCACGATTTATACGAGGGCAGTCTGAAAAGTTCTCGGCCTAACAATGAAAGAAAATTTTTTTGCTGTGAAATATGTTTTATTTTTCAATATAATCTCCTGAAACTTCAATACATTTATTCCAACGTTTTTCCAATAATTCAATATCATTAAAGTGTGATTCCGGAAGGTTTTTTTCGCTCAGGTGTATAGTGATGGATCCAAGTTTCACCAACAGTTGTGAAACAACGTTTGAAATCCATTTTATTTTGCTTAAAACGATCCAAACACGTTTGAGAAATATGCATTCGAATTGCGTTTTTGGTCAATTGTTAGCAAATGCGGCACCCATCTTGCACAAAGCTTTCTCTACTGGTGCTACTACTCGAATGACTTGATCGAATAAAATTGTACATGGGTTTATATCAGTTTATACCAGAGATGCCACTTTCCAATACAATTATAGTTTGACAGTTTCTAATGCCATGTATGTGTCAGGTGGAGAACTTTTCAGACTGCCTACGTAGTAACTAGCGGTGCACCGTTGCGCAGAACCTCTACGTATAATCGGTATTGGCGCTCGCGGCGCACAAATGCTGTGAGTGATGAAAACGTCACCGAAGTCTGCCCTTTGGTCATTATCGACAAAGTATAATTAACATTACGAAAAAAGAGTACATACAAAAGTACGATACGTAAAAAGTAGAGTTCTCTTTTTATCACCTTAAAAAGAGTACATATACTCTTAAAAGAGTACATATGGTCACCCTAGTTGCATGGCAAGAAATGTTTGTATAAAGTTAATATACTTTCCAATGTCATTTATTAGAATACATTTTGAAATATATTTAATTCTTAAAATGTTTTATTATCCCATAAAATGTTGTAACTGCCGAACTCCGCGATTCGGTCGTCGCTACGCGTTTTGCTCGTCGGAGTCCGGGTTCAAGGAGGAGGAAGGCAGCGAGACACTTTAAAATAGAAATATGAATAACTTAGATTTATTCGATACTGACTTAGGTACAAGAGCTCGGCCTCGAAGACGCTGTCGCGGGTTGCGTCTATTAGGCGCGTCAGTACGGTATGGTGCGGTGCGGTGTGCGGTACACGCGCGCGTACGGACGGAAGGCGACGCGTGTAGATGGTAACGGCGCAGTGATCGTTCTCGCTTCGCGACGCTGGGCGTCTCGGACAATTATCGCCCAATACTCGGCTCGCAATCGCTCGCGTAAACATGGTCGCCGGACCGGAGATTTTGACTCTCGGTCGAACGCATGCACGCAAGTCGCGGAATACGCGCAATGATTTCGTCCGTCGGGGCCGAGGACTCTCGACGGAGAAGGCGTACGCACCTTCCCTTTTCCTTACGCGGAGGAAAGCGACCAAGTGCTGCAGACACTCAGCGGAGACGGCGGACGCACCGTCCTGGGTCCTTGGTAGCTAGACGGATCGCCCAGAGGCTGAGTACGCTCAGCGGAGTTCGCCGACGGACGAACCCCTGACTCAGGGCGGCGGTTAAAGGCTAGAGATTGTCGAGTACGCTCGACTGAACACGCGCACGCACGAGCCCAGGAAGACGGGAGACGGCCAAGTATCGAGCACGCTCGAGACTGCGGACGCACAATCCCGTTTGCTTAGTCACCGGTCGGATAGTCGGAAAGCGGAAGGCAGAGCGAAACGGTCCGAAGGTTCTTTCCTTCAGCATACAGCGTCTGGATCGAACGGCGGTACGGATTGGTCTGGTCCTCAGGAGCTCGATCGCCGCCGTTTTATAGTCGTATTCGCTACGATTGATACGGCGGCGATCGAGCGGCGCGCCTATCAGCGCGAGGTACGGCGACGGCGCGTAATCGCGGCCGCGCGCGCTAGCGGCGGCGCGAGATAACGGCGGCGCGCGATATTTCGCTCGATTAAGGTGGCGCAAAGCGTCGTTCTTCGACCCAACAGGTGGTCGGTCGGGCCGGTAGTAACGAGATGCATTTGCGCCTCGTTACAATGTCCTTAGAAATAAAATATAAGGTATTAACTATTTCACAAAAAAGTTTATATGAGTATCATGCATATAATTTTGTCAATAAGTATTACATATATATTTTTTGTAATAAAGTATATATATTGAAATAAAATATATTTTTGAAACAACATTTCCTTTTCTCTATCCATTGTAGTTCTTAAATATGTACTAATATAACAAATGTTGCTTATAAATGTAATAACTTTATATTACAAATAATCAAGTCTTTCTTTGTAGTTCTTAAATTTGTACTAATATAATAAATGTTTATAAATATGATAACATCATAAATAGTTAAGTCTTTTTATTTCTTCTTTTTATGTAAACATTCTCTTAAAATAAATACTATATAAGATGATTTTTTTTGATCACGCAGGGGAAATCCTCATGGATACCCCGCCCTTTTGGGGAGGGCGGGGGTTATGCCGGACTCTTATCGGCTAAAACTCCTGCGGAGTGCCTACCGCTCGGACCGAAGTGGGGGCAGTCAGGGGAACTACGCCTATATTCCCTCTCCGATACCCCGGCCCCAGGGCTCTAATGGAGCCCCCAAGTACCGCGCCCCTCCCTTTGGGAGTAATGGGCCGGGTGCCCCGGCCGGTTACCCGACCGGGTTGGCTTTCCGGTTTAATATAGGAGGAGCGGCCACCCGCCCCCCACCTCTCCCCATCTTGCCCCTACCCTGGGTATGTAGGGGGAAGGGCAGGGGAGTGAGGCCTGGCCCCAACCTAGTCTCACTCCCCTTCTCCCTTTCTCCTCCGACGCGCCCAGTGCAGTGGAGGTGGGCGAGAGGATTACCCCCTCTCACCCACTTCCACTGCCCCATCGAAGGCGGGCCCGAGGCGTCCGAGGAGGAGGCCTCCGGCGAGCCGGTGGCCTCATCTCCTCCTCGGCCGGCGCCACATCGGGCCCGCTTTCCCTCCTGAGGAACGCCACCTCCTCCGTTGCTCCCTGCGACGGGGTGGGCGGCGCTCCCACTCAGCAACCTCCATGTCCTTCCGGGATATGACGATCCGACAGAAGAAGGCCGCTGCTCCCCATACCTCCTCGCTCCCGCAAATTGCCTTGAGCAAGTGCGGGAACGAGAGGGGTTACCCCTGGCATCCCACTGCCCGGGCGAGGACACGGCGTTGTTCAGCACACGCCTGGCACTCAGCCAGGGTGTGCTCCACCGTTTCCTCTCGCACCAGGCAGTGGTGACACCTCACGGTGGGCTCCCTTCTAATTCGGTGCAGGTACCGACCGAAGCAACCGTGCCCGGTCAGCACCTGCATCATAGGGAAGGTTAGCCCGCGTCCCCGTCTGCTCGCCACTTCTGGCAGGCAAGGGCGGACGACCTCGGCCGTTCGAGGCCCGAATTCCCGGGGGTCGGCCAATATGGCAGACCACCACTCCAGGACTCGGGCCTCGGCCTGGAATTTCAGGGCCCTTAAGTTCCTGACCGTTAAACCCTCCCCCGCCGCGCGGAGCTCCTTCACCCTCCAGTAGAGGATATACCGCTGTTCGGCGAGGAGCTCTACGGGGGGGGGAGAGCCGGCCAGGGCCGTCGCCGCCCTGTACGAATCGCCTTTGTGATCACCGAGCGCATTGCCTGGCGCAAAAGCGCCTTGCTGCGCTCGGAGGCCACTAGTCGGGGTGCCCATATGGGCAACCCGTAGAGGGCGATCGAGAGCACCACCCCGACGTACAGACGGCGAGCGTGCCATCCGGGACCCCCCTAGGTCTTCATAAGGCCGGCCAACGCCAGGCCTGCTTTTCGGATACGGGGGGGGGCTAGGCCTGTGGCGGAAGAGCGGCTCCCGCCATCTGCCGCAGGGAGCACGGACCCGCTGTTGCCGAGGAGGCAGCGGAAGCAGTCGCTCGTGCCGCGGGAATGTTTCAGTGCGAGTGTGTCGTGTCCCCCGAGCGGCCGAGAGTTTTGAATCCGGTGAGATGTTTTCTTCTGGCAAGAGACGCGTGCGTGTGACGGACCTTCGCGGGCTTCTCGTCGGTCGGAACGAGCCGCTGGTCAGTTTTGCGAGCTATAGCGTCTGAGTGCGGTGCGCCTTGCCTTCCATTCGCAGCGCGAGTTCGGTCCCCGCGCGCCGCGTCCAGTGTCACGCGTCGCGGTCGCGCGCGGACACCTCTCGTGTCGAAAAGCCGTCCGCTCCGGTGATTTCGAGCGCGCCTTCGGGCAAGCGGCCCTTGCGATCTCGCGGTCGCCCTCGCGCGGCCCAGTCGTCGGCTTTTGCGTCTGTCGCGATCACGTGTTCGGCCGTGGGTTCCACGTGTGCTGCCGCGTGTTGTGCGTGTTGCTTTCAGCGCGACCGCTGCGAGGTCGCGCAGCAGTGCGTGCGTCACATGCGTTCCGCGTGGCTACACAGTGGCCGTTGTTGGCGTGTTCTTTTGTTTCCGTCGCTCTTTCATTTTCCAAACACGTGGAACCTCGGCGCAACCGCTGCGAGCTCCCGCCGTTGGTGAGTATCACGTGCGTTCCGCGTGCCTGCGTGGTACGCTGGCGAGCGTGCGTGCGTTCCTTTTTCGATGTCTTCAGTCTATTGTTCGCGAGCGTGTGCGCCCCGCGCGAGGGGCCGAGTGTAAGAAATAAAAGGTTTTTTTCTTTCTGTACTATCCTTCGAGTCGGTTCACTGGGGGCCCTTGAGGTCTGTCCTCAAGCGCCGCGAGGGAACACTTCAACCAGGGTATGGGTGCCGTACCCCTGCAATTTGTACATCTATTCCGCTGACCTTTGCTGTGCGGGGTTGATTCTGGTCGAGTCGAGCGGGAGTCCACTCGACCCCCACAGCATATCAAAATAGATAGCTGGTGACCCCGTCAAGCCTCGTTTTCGAAGTGCGCCGTCTCGATTGTGAAGTGCTTTTCATTCGCGAGTTGTCTGTGCGATTTCGAGTGAGTGTTGCGACCTTGTGTGCGCCGCGTAACCAAGTTTTTATACAGTTTTTCGGCGACAATGTTGCATTCGCCGCTAGCGTCGCATCGCGACGAAGATCCTCAGGAGCCGCAACAGCGCGCAGCGGCGCGACCCATGGGCGAGCCTCTGCTTACTCTCGACGCACCAACTTCAGGCAACCATCCAGGATGTGGCGAGTCGGTCGACGCGGTGCAAAGCTGTCGCCTTCCGCCTTTCTGGAAATCCAACCCCGAGCTGTGGTTTCTCCAGGTCGAAGCGGTGTTTCAAGCGTTGCGAGTACGCAACGACGAAACCAAGTACAGCCTCGCCGTATCCTTGCTCGACCCGAAATCGTTGCAGGAGCTTTCAGACATCATTCGGTTACCGCCGCCAGACAGGAAGTACGAGCTGCTGAAAGCCACCATCCTGAGCCGTTTTTCGGATTCGGCGGACCGACAATTGCTGCGTCTCCTCACTCAGCTTGAGCTGGGGGACCGCAAACCTTCGCAGCTGCTGCGCCAGATGCGCACGCTAGCTGGAACCAGAGTTCCGGAGGACGTCATCCGGGTTCGTTGGCTGGACCTGCTACCTATCAGCATCCAGCAAATCCTCAAGGTGCTCAAAACTCACAACCTGGAGGAGCTAGCCGCAGCTGCCGACGAGCTGTTGGGAAGCGGGCAAGGCTACCCGGTAGCCGCCGTCCAGCCACCTGCAAGTACCTGCGCCGTGTGCGCGGCTTCGGGCGGTCAGCTGACATCCCGCCAACCTGACCTTGCCGCGGTGCTGACTGACATCAGAGCTTCGCTACTGCGGATGGAGGCCTCCCAGCGGGACATACTCTCTTTCCTGCGCCGCCAACCTCCTGGTGAGAGTCGTCGCTCCTCTTCGCAGCCGCGCGCCAGGTCGCGCGCGAGGTTGCCCGCGGACATCCGAGACAACTGGTGCCACTACCATCGACGCTGGGAAGCGGACGCGCGGAGGTGCCTAACGCCGTGCGCGTTCCCCGGGGCATCTTCTGCAGCGGCACCGGGAAACTAATCGTGCCCGCGCCGGTGCAGTCGCCGGCCGCGGGAACATTTATTCCAGAAAACCGGCTGCACGTCTTTGAACGCAGAACCGGCTTAAAATTTTTAGTAGACTCCGGTTCCGTCATCTCGTTGCTGCCCAGGTCGCAAACGCGAGACAAGCTTCCAACGCAGAGGCTCACGCTCCTCGCTGCCAACGCCTCACCTATAGCAACGTACGGAATGCGCACGCTGGTTCTCAATCTGGCGCTCCGGAGGGACTTCGAATGGCGTTTCATTGTGGCGGACGTGCAGACTGCCATCCTAGGAGCCGACTTTCTCGCACATTTCGGACTCCTGGTGGACGTCGCTGGCCGTCGTCTCCTCGACTCGCTCACCTCTCTACAGGTACAAGGCGTCATGTGCCGAGCCAGTGTACACAGCATAGCAGTGAGGCAGGAGGCCAACGTTCCGGAAGGCCAGCTGGGCGTATGTTATACTCGAGTCTTGGCGGATTTCGCCAGCGGGGCTAAGGACAATCGTGCCTCTTCAGGCCCGAGCAGCACAGGAGTGCGCCATCATATTCTGACTACTGGGCCACCATGTTTCGAGCGTCCTCGAAGACTGTCCGGGGAGAGGCTCGCAGCGGCTAAAGCAGAATTCGACTCGCTGCGAGCCCAAAACATTGTACGCCCTTCCTCGAGTCAATGGGCTAGTCCTATTCATCTGGTCAAGAAGAAGACAGGAGGATGGCGAGCCACTGGCGATTACCGCCGGCTTAATGCCAGCACCGTTCCTGATTGGTATCCCCTACCGAATATTGAAGACCTCCTCCAGGACTGCCACGGATGCACGGTATTCTCCGTCGTCGATCTCGAACGGGCGTACTACCAGTTGCCCGTCGCGGAGGAGGACGTGCCCAAGACAGCCGTGACGACTCCTTTCGATTTGTTTGAATTTGTTGGCATGCCTCTAGGACTCCGCAACGCCTCTCAAACATTCCAACGACACATGGATTTGGTGCTGCGCAATCTTCGATTCGTGAGGTGCTACCTGAACGATCTGCTGGTGCTCTCCAAATCGCACGAGCAGCACATCGAGCACCTCCAGCTATTGTTTGCCGCTTTAAGCCAAGCTCAGCTCTCCATCAACCTGGATAAATGTATGTTCGGGCGAAATCAGGTGACTTATCTAGGCTTCTTAGTATCGCAACAAGGCTACCAGCCGCCCCCGCAGCACGTGCAAGCAATACGAGACTTTCCGCTGCCGAAGACAGTAGCCGATCTCCGAAGGTTCCTCGGCATGCTAAACTTTTATCGTCGCTGCATTCCGAAGGCGGCTGAACTACAAGCGCCTCTACACAACTTCCTCAAAGGGGCCAAGAAGAGAGACCGTTCCGAGGTACAGTGAGCAGACGAGACCAGGAAGGCTTTCAAGGCGTGTCGAGAGAGCATCGCTTCAGCCATCGCGCCTGCGTATCTCCACCATTCAGCGCCACTCGCGCTCACCACCGATGCCTCAAGCACTGCCATCGGCGCCGCTCTGAAGCAGTTCGAAGATGGTTCTTGGCGACCGACCGGATTCTTCTCACGCAAACTCAGCGACGCAGAGCAACGCTATAGCACATACGATCGCGAGCTGTTGGCCATTTTCGCAAGCATTAAGTACTTTCAGAGGATCCTGGAAGGACGTCAGTTCCGGGTACGTACCGACCACTGGCCCATCATCTTCGCGCCACACCAGCGAGCGGACAAAGCTTCACCGCGCCAGCAACGGCAACTGGACTTCATCCTGTAATTCCAGCTCACTTTGGAGCACGTAAAAGGGCAGGACAATGTCGTGGCGGATACGCTTTCGAGAGCCTGCGCTATCGACATGCCGACCATCTTGGACGCTGCTACAATCGCTAATGCACAGGATGACGACGACGAGCTTCCGCATCTGCGAGACAATGCTGCAACGCCTCTACAGCGCCTTACTATCAAGGGCTACGACGTCTACTGCAGCATCGCCGGAATTCGGGTGAGGCCCTACCTGCCAGTTTCGCTCCGGCGACGAGCCTTTGACGTCGTGCACGGACTCGCACACCCGAGCGGTCGGGCTTCAGTAAAAGCCACGCAGCGGTTCTTTTGGCCGGGCATTAAGAAGGACGTCGCGCGCTGGGCCCGAGAGTGTCAACCCTGTCAACGGGCAAAGGTCCACCGGCATAACCACTCAGCCCTCGGTCGATTCAACACACCCGACAACCGTTTTGACCACGTCCACGTGGATATAGTCAAGCTGCCGCTAGTTGCAGGGCGGCAATACTGTCTGATAGCCATCGACAGATTCTCCAGGTGGCCGATCGCCGTGCCGCTGCAGGATATGCAAGCAGGGACTATAGCAGCAGCCTTCTTCGAGCATTGGATCTGCCACTATGGGACCCCATTAACGATCACCTCCGACCAGGGAGCGCAGTTCGAATCAGCACTGTTCACGGCGCTGGCGCAGCTCATCGGGGCCAAGCGGATACGGACAGCACCGTATCACCCGCAATCCAACGGTATAATCCAGCGATTTCATAGGTCGCTCAAGGCAGCGCTGATGTGCAACCCTCAAACGCCTTGGATGGACCTTTTGCCAGCGGTGATACTGGGCCTTCGCACCTGTTTCAAGCAGGACCTACAAGCCTCTGCGGCAGAGATGCTGTACGGCACGGCGTTAAGGATTCCGGGTGAGTTCTTCGTTACGCAGAATCAACCGGCTTGCCCACAGGTCTTTCTGTCAAAATTTCGAAGCCTCATCAGAGACATCAAGCCGGTACCGACTTCACATCACATCTCACCCAGGACTTTCCGCCTCAAAAACATTGACTGCTCTCACGTATACAAAAGACTGAGTTTATCAGGAAGCCGTTGGAACCACCTTATACAGGGCCGCATGAGGTGATCAAGCGGCTAAACGAACTTCTTTCATCATTCAAATCAACGGCGTGGAGAAGACGGTTTCAGCCGACAGCCTCAAACCGGCATTCGTGGAAGCGGCGGACGAGCGGGTAGAGCCCGCGGCGGCTGCCGCCCCTGAACCAGGACCGTCCAGACCCTGACGAATTTCGTTCCTTGCTCCCCCGCAAGGAACTAAGGAGGGAGTAGTTGTGGCGGAAGAGCGGCTCCCGCCATCTGCCGCAGGGAGCGCGGACCCGCTGCCGCCGAGGAGGCAGCGGAAGCAGTCGCTCGTGCCGCGGGAGTGTTTCAGTGCGAGTGTGTCGTGTCCCCCGAGCGGTCGAGAGTTTTGAATCCGGTGAGACGTTTTCCTCTGGCAAGAGGCGCGTGCGTGTGACGGGCCTTCGCGGGCTTCTCGTCGGTCGAAACGAGCCGCCGGTCGGTGTTGTGAGCTATCGCGTCTGAGTGCAGTGTGCCTTGCCTTCCATTCGCAGCGCGAATTCGGTCCCCGCGCGCCGCGTCCAGTGTCACGCGTCGCGGTTGCGCGCGGACGCCTCTCGTGTCGAAGAGCCGTCCGCTCCGGTGATTTCGAGCGCGCCTTCGGGCAAGCGGCCCTTGCGATCTCGCGGTCGCCCTCGCGCGGCCCAGTCGTCGGCTTTTGCGTCTGTCGCGATCACGTGTTCGGCCGTGGGTTCCACGTGTGTTGCCGCGTGTTGTGCGTGTTGCCTTCAGCGCGACCGCTGCGAGGTCGCGTAGCGGAGCGTGCGTCACGTGCGTTCCGCATGGCTACACGGTGGCCGTTGTTGGCGTGTTCTTTTGTTTTTCCTTCCGTCGCTCTTTCATTTTTCAAACACGTGGAACCTCGGCGCGACCGCTGCGAGCTCCCGCCGTTGGTGAGTATCACATGCGTTCCGCGTGCCTGCGTGGTACGCCGGCGAGCATGCGTGCGTTCCTTTTTCACTGTCTTCAGTCTCTTGTTCACGAGCGTGTGCGCCCCGTGCGAGGGGCCGAGTGTAAGAAATAAAAGGTTTTTTTCTTTCTGTACTATCCTTCGAGTCGGTTCACTGGGGGCCCTTGAGGTCTGTCCTCAAGCGCCGCGAGGGAACACTTCAACCAGGGTACGGGTGCCGTGCCCCTGCAATTTGTACATCTATTCCGCTGACCTTTGCTGTGCGGGGTTGATTCTGGTCGAGTCGAGCGGGAGTCCACTCGAACCCCACAGGCCCTTGAAATGAGCCCCGAAATCCTACCGGCCGTCCAACGTCAGGCCTTGATCGTAGGCCCGACGCGGACGCGGACTCCATCCACCCGGATTTGGGTCTTCGGCGGTGCCCCACGGCAGCCGTCATGAAAATAGACGGCCTCCGTTTTCCGGGGCGCAACATTGAATCCCATATCCATGATGGTGACCACCACGTAGTGCAATGCTGCCTCTGCTCGGAGGTGGGCTTCCCCCCAGTTCCTCCCTCCGGCTACCACTAACATGTCAGCCGCGTAGCAGATGACGTGGCAGCCAGGGGAAGGGGAGAGCGCAGTACCCGGTCAAACGTGATTTCCCATAGCAGGGGGCCGAAGACCGACCCCTGCGGGACACTACGCCATGGCGCGCCGACCTTGGACCTCGCCTCTCCCCGAGTAAGTGATCTCCCAATCTTCGGCCAGGGCAGTGTGTTGAAGGCATTGGTGATGTCGAGCGATACCGCCAACAACAACCCGCCCTCCCTCTCCACGAGCACTCTGGCCAGGTCCCGGCGACGCTGGATCGCATCCAGCGTGGATCTTCCGGGCTTAGACCCGTATTGGTGATCGTGAAGGTTCTGTCCCTCCAGGGATAGATGCCGGACGAGGCGGTCGGCAATGATACGTTCCAGCATCTTGCTCGCCTCGTCCAGCAGGCATATCGGCCTGAAGATCGGCGCGCTACCGGGCACCTTGCTATCCTTCGGGAGGAGGACCAGTTTGGCCCTCCTCCACTCTGAGAGATATATGAGATGATTTAATTTTTAAATGTAATCTCTATTTTGAAGAAATGAACTATTACTTTTTTTGATCTACTTATATTGGGTGAGTGCAAAAGTTCGTGCGGAGTTTGTGAGTAAAAGTCACACAGTGATTAGGCAAACAAAAATCTTTATTCAATCAATGATATATTCTCCATCGTTTTCTATAATCTTTTCCCAACGTTCTGGCAGCATACGGATGCCTCGATCATAAAAACTGCGCGGTTTAGATTCGAAGAACGAAGAGACGCCGTTTTTTAAGGCCTCCAAAGAGTCAAAGTTTTTTCCATTTAAATAATTTTGCAATGACCGGAACAAGTGATAGTCAGATGGTGCGATATCAGGAGAATACGGTGGATGCGTTAAGACATCACATTTCAGGCTCTTCAGTTTGCGCAGCGTCTTTTTCGAAACGTGTGGTCTGGCGTTGTCGTGGTGAAAGACGACTCCCTTGCAATTTGACAAAATCGGACGTTTCTCTTTTATTTCTCGATTCAGATTGGTTAATTGGCGACAGTACTTGTCCGAATCAATCGTTTCGCCAGCGGGGAGAAGCTCGAAATAGATTATGCCCTTGCAATCCCACCAAACAGAGAGCATCACCTTCATCGGGTGCAAACTGGCCTTTGGCATTGCGTCACCATGCTCACCTGATTGTTTTCATGTCCGTTTGCGCTGAACATTGTTGTAGAGGACCCATTTCTCATCGCCCGTCACTAGTCGATCCAAAAACGACTCGTTATTGAGCCGCCCGAGTAAAGAAACGGCTGCAGAAATTCGCTTGATTTTGTTCTTCTCGGTCAGCAAATGGGGCACCCATATATCGAGCTTCAAATCGAATCCCATCTTTTTTAAACGCCGAAAAGCGGTTGATCGGTCAACGTTTAGTGCTGTAGCAACTTCTTCTGTTGAAATTCGCGGATTATTGAGCACTAAAGTACGCAAAACATCGTCATCAATGTCAGAAGGTCGACCAGAGCATGGCTCGTCTTCAAGGTTAAATTCTCTGCGCCGAAATTTAGCAAACCATTTTTCCACAGTTCGTTTAGCTGGTGCTTCATCCTGATAAACATCCTGAATGTTTTTTACGGCTGCGGCAACGTTTATTCCCTTCTGAAACTCGTAAAGCATAACATGCCGTAAATGCACCTTATCGATACTCATTTTTAAAGTGATATTTCTCGAAGCAGTTTGTATGAAAACAAATGATTTTTTTTTTAATAACAGCTGAAGACGTCACCTTTCCAACGTTATATAATATGTAGATGGAAGTATTAATGACAACACTTTACGACGCTTATAATTCCATCTATTGAAACTCCGCACGAACTTTTGCACTCACCCAATATATAAAAATAAAAGCTTATATATAAAATAAAATAAAAATATAAAAATAAAAAAAAAATTTATATATAAAAACAGAAATCTGTTATCAAATCTATATCCAGACAGCACACAGATGTCCATTGGACGTCTGTTATATGTCCATATTTTTTACAAAGGACGTCCATAGGATGTACGTTTGTCACAACTTCGGACATAGGATGTCCGATGGACGTACATCCGATGTCCAATAAGGAAATCCTTGTTACGTCCAATTTATGTCCACAGACGCAAATCGGTCATACGGATATAAATTGGACGTGAAACGTACATCCATTGGATGTCCGGTGCTGTCTGGGTATAAAAACAAACTCATTAAATTGTTAAAATATGAACATAATAATACTTCATCATATTATTTATAAACGAAAAAAACATTAAAATTACGAATGACTAAGAAACATAAAATATTTACATACAACACAACGCAGTTTTAGAATGCAGAGTAATTTTGTATATTACCAATTACTCAGTAAAAGTAACACATTATAACCTTCATACTTTGTTTCGTAATTGGTCTCTTTTTTTTCAAAAGTTAATTGTAATAATTTTAATGCATAAGAAAATCCTTCGTTATTTGGAAATTCGCGTAATAGATTTCCTATTACGGTAATTATATTAGTTTTATTATCTTCTGATTGTATATGTTCAGGTATTGTACGTACTATTTCTTCTGTTTGTAACGATGATGTTTCTATTTTTATTGGTTCCCTCATAATACTTGATGACGTCTCTAACATGTCGCTATTATTCGATCTCTTTTGTCGCTTTTGCATGGAAACTTCGTCAAGTTCTGATATTTTACTTGATGCACAGTCCCTCTTACTCGGAATGTTAGTAGTAGTACTGAAACATAAAACAAAATTTATATACAAAAATATAATAATTCATTATGTATATTACTAATTTATTATATACCGTTCCGTCTCATAAGAAAGTAATTAATAAAAATTAATATAAGAAAACAAAAAAAACTTTCGGTAAATCATATTTTACATTATTTTTAAAATAATGCCAATAACATATTTCAAATAATATTTGAATATACTAACTTATGAGAATCCTGTATATCATGTAGAAATCTCATATATTCATACCACTTCCATTTTACAGGTTTATTTGCGGTTGAACCACTCCTTTTCCTTAATATATCATTACGGATGCGCATATACAGGGTTCTCAAAAAGTCTTCGAACGATAAAATATCTCGAAAACAATCAGTTTTTGGAAAAAATGTTTCAGACAAAAGTTGTAAGGCTTAAAATGATCTATTTACTGATCTTATCAGTTTGACCTTGGCTAGCGCAACAAGGTCAGGGCAAAGTCATCTTGAACTTTCCAAACGGAACGCCCTACTCTTTTCGGCATATTCTTATAACGTATTTCAAGAGCTTTCCAAAATACTACAGCAAAGTATTTTTTGTTAAGTACATCTCGAGTTATGAAGCTTCAAAGTTGCAGTCGACATTAGCATTACCCAAGGTGTACCGCGTAGAGGTTGCACGATCGGATTTACACCTCTTGTGTGTGTGTATGTGTGCGTGCATGTGCCTGTGCGTGCGCGTGTGCGTATGTGTGTGTGTATGTGTGTGTGTGTGTGTGTGTGTGTGTGTGTACGCGTGTATGTGTGCATGTATTTGTGTGTGCGTCTGCGTATTATGTAACAGAAACAAGGACCCCACGGTTCGTCACTCCCGTAGTATTTTGACTCCAAACCCTTTGTGTTGTGTAAAGTGACTTTATCTCATCTTTTAAGATCTGCAACATTTTTCAATTAATTAAATGTTCAAATTGTCTTCCTTCTACCATTTCACAATGAGCTAAATGTTCATAGAAATGACTGAACACATCGTTTATTTGTTCTAAAATGATGAGAGATGCTTCCCGCATTATTCGATTGCTAAGGTCTTCCAAATTACGTGGTTTTGTCGCATAAACCTTGTTTTTGAGATATCTCCAAAGAAAAAAATTTAGAGGAGACAAATCAGGTGATCTAGCAGGTCACTCAATAGCACCCCTCCTACCTATCCATCGACCAAGAAAGAACGATTCAGAAATTCTCGACTTCTTATTGCGTAATGAGGCGGTGCTCTATCTTGCTGGAACCAAACATGTTGCATGTCTGCGTCAAATTTATTTCGTATGTCGGCTATAATATGATCTCGCAATAAATTTTCATACTTTTCCGCATTCAAATTACCGTCTGTCAAAAATGGACGAATAATACCGCGACTGCAAATTCCTGCCCAGACATTCATTTTTTGTGGATACTGTGTGCGAAGATCACTCATTCAATGTGGATTTTCATCACTCCAGTATCTGCAATTGTGACGATTAACAGAACCGTTTATTTGGAACATAGCTTCATCTGAAAAAACATAAAATTCAAAAAGTTATCATCAATTCGATTCATCATTTCTTCACAAAATTGAATTCTTCTATCAAAATCATCTTCCATAAGTTCTTGAGTGATAACAATTTTGTAAGGATGATATTTATGCTTTTCTAAAATGTTAAGAATGCTACTTGACTGATATCATGGGTTTGCGCTGTTCTTCGCACAGATGTATGAGGATTTTCTTGAAATGACAGTAAAACATCCAAACTCATATCATCATTTTTTGCGGATTTTGGTCTTCCGCTACGAGGTCGGTCTTGAACTATTCCAGTTTCCAAAAAACATGTCACTGTGTACTGAACAGTAGACTTAGAAATAGGGTTGCGATCAGGATGTGTAGCATTGAAGAGATCAGCTACTTCCTGATATGATCTAACACGGTCTCCAAACCCTCGATACATAAGCAGCAAAATCCTTTCTTTTTCGATCAACATTTTTCAGATAGAATTTGAAGTTGTAGAACGAAAAAAGAACAAAATAGATAAAGATCGAACGCAAGCGAATACGATTAGTTTGTAGAATACACGGAGCAAGAAGCGTTTTCGAAAACCACCAGTATGCACGAGTTTTAGCTGTAAGTCCTCGTGGTGTCCGATGTTCACTAATGATCGCCTTTGATGTTAGTAGATCAATTTGCCAAAGTAACCTCCTTGTAAACTAAATTCTTAATAAGCTTTGTAGTTTACTCCTAGGTCGTTAAAGTAGATTTTCTTAAGAGTTCCCTTAAGAAAATAAAATATTAAGAATTACTGAAAAATTTACAGTGATTAATCACGGCCAAATTATTACTGAAATACTGCTATCCCTATGAACGTTTAGCTCATTGTTAAATGGTAGAAGGAAGACAATTTGAATATTTAATTAATTGAAAAATGTTGCACATCTTAAAAGAGGAATTAAAGTTTACACAACAGAAAGGGTTGGAGTCATGAAATACTATGGGAGTGACGAATCGTGGAGTCCTTGTTTCTGTTACATAACACGCAGA